ACTTTATGCGACGTGGTGATCTCATTATGCTGATCAAAGCTTTAGGACGGAATTCAATAGAAGTTTGAGTACCAACTGGACAAAAACTTTGTACCAAGATTATTTACATCTCATTGCAAAATGTTAAAAGAACTGTAAAATACTTAAAATTATTCTGGTTCCAGATTTTTGTCCACTACGAACTGAAATGCTCGATTTTCTATCGGATTTCGTCTTAATACTCGAGAGATTCCTAAGAGCCAGGGTGAAAGCTGAGGATCAGTAGTTGCCTCTCCTTCAGTGTAAGCCGTTAAAATACGGTTCGGATAGACAGAGTTACCTGACTCAACGCTTGCTAATGTATTGGCCCTAAAGAGTAAAACCTGTAACTGTGAATTCAATTTCAGCCGCACTTCTACTTAAAGGCCATAAGGAATTTCAATTTTAAAATTGTCCATTGCTCTTTTGAATTACCTAAAATTCTTACCCATTGTCCAGGTTCATAATGGAAACCACTTCCTTTAAGAAGTGAACGAATTTCTTTTTCATTTGGGCATGGTTTATTGTTCTCCCTTTGCCCTGTTGCTGGCTTACAGAACGGTTCTTCTGTAAATGCTGTTTTCTTGCCGTCTGCATACCACTCAATTTGATATGTAACATTCTTCCATGGCCTTATTGTCTTATCGATAGGCACTACACAGAGCAGAGAGACTGCTTCCTCTTGAGAGTCTTTGACTTTTATCTCAGGACGGCCTAGGTAGATGCTGGATATTTTCTGTGGTGCAACTAATTGAAAAACAGAATAATTCGAAAGTCTATTGTATTAAACAGGTGATTACTTTAGAAGGAAACTTTCAATAAACTCTTGAGAAGCTTTCTTTAACTTATTGAATATATTTATATATTGCAATAATGTTGCTGTTCCTGTTTTCGGAATAAACTGCTGTTAGAACGTTATTTCGTAGAAACACAAGCGAGTCATTTAACCGAGACTTATTTTAACGAAATAAAACATTAGCAGCTCACTCACCATTACATGCTGCTAACGATGTACCCCTCTGTCCATAGGGACAAGGTATACCATCTCCTGTAACATAAACAAACATATGTGACGTAATACTGGCATGTATACATTAGCGTTTTTTCTCGTGCAATTTTACCATTACGGTTACAATCTCATCTTTAACCAAGAACCTGAGACGTATCCAAAGAGAATAAAGTATCCAATTATCTGTTTCCCTGTTTCAACACCGTCGTTAGCCTAATGAATGCACCATACCTCTTTTATCGTTCTACATCATTAGAAAACGGATTTAGAGTTAGGGAAGTTAGGGTCTGATTGATTTTAATTGAGGGATCTGAGACCCAAGAACTATATCATGAGATTTGTAGTGGCCTCATATCTTACTACGCCACTAATAAACATTGCTACCAGTACGCTTGTCAACAAAATTCTCTATGGTGTCTGTCAGTAAAGCGGATCCAATAAGACAACAAAAAGGCAAGTAAAAATTAGAACCGGACCGGAATTTTAAGTAACTTTGAAGTTTTACCCAAAGATAAAGATGCCTATGATACACTGCAATGTCCCCAGGTTTGTAACCATTTACGTTTTATAAACCAATGAAGGCGACGGTATAAAAATCAATTCCATTCACAAATAGATTTGCTTGTTGCACACACTGCCTCCGATAAGCCAAGGAATGGTTAAAGTGCCTATGAAGTGAAAAATAATTGCTGCTAATTTGAAAGGCTTTTCACAACAAAGAAGAATGGCGTTTTCCTTTTTGGAATATCTTTTTTCGTTTTAGAGATATTCACGTTTTTGTATTAAAAGTGATGACGTCATAGGTGGTTCCACTAAAACATTTCAAGACTCAATCAAGAATATCTCTAGAAATATTAAAGCAGTATTCTTTAAACTTGGCACGAGAAATGTACATCACAAAAGAAACAAAATGATACCCGTCGTGTCATCGTCATGACAACAGTTATGCTGCTGGTCCTGTTTTAATTAAAACTAACATTA